TATATTTTTTTTTTTTTTTTTTTTTTTTTTTTTTGGTAGGGGTTAAATATAAATAGAAGGGGAAAAAAACCCAAAATCTATGCTAAAGAAGAGAAAAAGTATATGGAAAATAGATTTTGTGAAATTAACCTAGTTCCAGGCTGTGGTGAGATAACATCCTTGGTTTATGTAGGGCAATTAAAATTAAGACTGACTGCAAAGGATCTCACAATACAGAGTGACTTGGCAATAAAATAAGAGAATGAAATTCAGTGACAATGAACTGAAGGCAATGTGCACAAGAAAAAAATAAAAACACACCACAACTAACTAAAAAAAAAAAAAAAAAAGAGAATAAAATAAAATATATACTTGCCAAGAAAAGATTGTGCAAAAGTCACATTATCAATGTTGTAACTTCCAATGGTTTATAGTATTTTATGGGTGTGACTTTGAGACACTCATTTCTGATTTTAGCTTTGCAAGTGATTGATGTTTTGAATGATGACAAGAAAATTCAGTGTGTGAACCATTCCACTAATGTACAGAACACAGAATTCATTTGTCTGAAATCTTTCAGCCAGAACTCTGAATATTTTCTATTCTACTAATTTAAGAGAACTGTTCAAGAAATTAATAAATGTGAAGGACAGAATTTTCTAAGGGTAGAGATTCTGTTCCTGGTCATAATAAATCAGTCACACAGTGCAAGGCTCCCTTAGTTTCTTGTGTCCAGTTCCCTTGCATGTATTAACCTTTTCTAAATTCCAGGAGCACTGAGTTAATAATTGCAAACAGAGTTGCTGTTGTTTCCCTAATTTAGTGGGTTTTGGAAGGAAGAAAAGAGTGAGATGGCTTTCCTTTCCTTCATGCACAGCATCCCAATCTATAGCACCACGTCAGTACCCTGATGTCGCCCCAAAGCATCTGTTGCAGGTACCAGCTGGACAGTGCAGTGGAAACATTTCTGGGAAATTCTGTTTATAAGTGCTTCTTGACTTAAAAACCTTAAAAGATATTGCTGCAAAACTGAATTTATTCTGGTGGTCAGTGGGGCCTTTTTTTGTTTTACTCTTTCCTAGACACTGAATATAAATTTATAGTCACTTGTACTTGCTTTTACAGGGAGATGTTGGTGTTATTTTGCACTTATGCACAGTACATATCCAGAAATCTTGGTATTTCCTGTATTAAAGTATATATTTAGAAGCTTTTTGGCAGAATAATATTGTGGATGCCTAGTAATTCCATAGTTAGTGTTGTATTAATTGAAACCACTGTGTACAGCAGAAGTGCCAACATGTGTGAAAGTTCTTCACGCAATTAGTAAATCCACATAATTATATTAAACAACTGTCTAAAAATTTGAAAGATCTTCTGAGTAATTACAAGTGCCAGCTTTAGAATCCTTTTGTTAGTATCCAGAAATACACTGAAAGAGTTTGAGAGTTCAATGATCTTTCTACCAAAATACTTTATGGATTAAATGTTGCAATACAAAGAATTGAAGCAAGAGAGAAGGTATATGCTCTGATTGTGCACTGCAGTTGTTCAATTTTCTTTTTTTTTCTTCTTCTGTTGTGTCTTTGGAACTGTAATGTGGTGATGCCCTTGGAGATGTTTTCCCTGGGCAATTAACCATAGAAATACTCAATAAGATAACACAGGTCTATTGTCATGTGCTAACCCAGTTCCTCAAACTAATTATGCTCCCTGTGTAGTTACCCTTCTTGCAAACCCTTGAAATTACTCAGAATTTACAAAGTGAAAGAAATATAAATTGCTCTAATTTATTTATTTTTTGCTGTACTTCACCCTCTTTTTCCATGTCCTAAAGGCAGAACATGCAGTGCTTATTTGTTGAGACTGTTGTGGGAATGTGGATGGCTGTACTGGAACTTATCCCAGGCTAATGGAAACAGTGATAACAGTTCCAGGAGAAAACCAGAGCATGTGATGTGTATTTGCTTTTGACTTTGAATGTGGATGGTTGACTCTTTGTAATTCTGATAGAGTTTAGTTTTCCCCACTTTTTGGGGTTTATTTTTCCATGCTAGAATGCCTTTTTTTTTTTTTTTAACCTTTGATACCCTAAAAACATGAGCTTTTCACAAGTTACAATTATTATTTTTTTCTTTTGTAATTGCAGTTGTTTCTTATCCTTACTGCTGGTAGCTGCTGTCGTTTGGAAAATCAAACAAACCTGTTGGGCTTCTCGACGGAGAGAGGTATCAATAACTTTAAGATTATTGTAGTACCTTTGTATTTCAGAAAAAGTTGGGGACTTTGATGAACAGTCACTCCTCCCATTTCTCCTGTATATGCAGTTTAAATACCCATTTTATACCCTTGACTTTTTTATGCTGAAAAAGAAAACTTCATTTCTTTCTCCTTTCAAAAATTAAAAGAATTACAGCACTAGGCTGCAGAAACATAAATTTTCTTTTTGGTGGCATTTTTAGAATATGTAGAATAGAATTGAATAGAGTATTTCATTTGAAAGGATCCTACAAAGAATTATTTAGCCTGACCACTTCAGGGCTGACCAAAGGTTAAACCATATTATTAATAGTATTGTCCAAATAAATAAATAATAATTTCTTATATACTAACAAGCTTGGGCAGTGACCCCTTGCTAGGAAGTTTGTTCCAGTGTTTAACCACCTTCTCTGTAAATAAATGTTTTCTAATATCCAACCTGAACCTCCCCTCAAAGGAGCTAAATTCTCTATACTAGAATCTGTACTTTTATCATTAAGTCTGTGGCACAATTAAAATCTTCAGTAAATATTCATAAAATCACCTTATTCTTTTGTGGTCTAAATTCTTACAGCTATATTGAAAAATCTGGCCCAAATCTTTGTTCTTACCTGCCTAACAATTCATTACACTTAAATGAGGTTAAACTTATGTTATGTATGCTACATGATTGTACACTGATAGTTGTGATATTTCATTTTGCTCTCATAAATGAGATCTAAAATTTGTAGACAGTGATGTTTTCCTTCCTTGGAGCTTCTAATCATGATGATTTTTGGAAAAAGCACTTGCTTAATGTCCCATAATCTTGATTTTTTTGTTTTTTTTATAGACAAGCTTTGGTCTACTTCATGATTTTTTTTCTTAGTATACTGGCACCACAAGTGTTTAAATAACTTTTTCTTTTTACTGTAGATCTACAGTGAATTTATATGTGCTTTAAAAGTGCCAGGTAACTAGCACTTTCCATTTTCCTCCACTGAAGTAATAATGTACTAATGCCAAGGTTTAGCTTGAACTGGTGCTACAATGGAAGATGTATATGGAAAATATACTTGTTTCCTTCTGGTATTTTTGGTTTGTTTTATTCATATTAACATTCTTAAGAATCTTCTAGGGGCAAATTCTCATTTATTTCTTACTACTTGCAAAATATAGATGAAAGGTAATTTAAACTACAATATTCAACTTAATAATATTTCATTTAAATTTGTCTCAGTACTTTGATAGTTCTGTGCAAAACTTTGTTGTGATGAAATGTAGTAGTTCATTGATTTAATTTCCCATGTAAATGAGGTTGGTTTATTGATATTTTTAAGAAGAAATACAAATGTACTCATTTCCAGATCTAGGTCTGCTCTGTTTTCTGTGATTGTTCTCCTAGGTTTTTGAAATGTAATATTTTCTCTGTGGTCTTTAGACATCATTTGATAAAGAAAAGATTCTCATACAAAAAGTTTCTGAAGTTTTCCAAGACTTATTTTCCTAATATCATCAAAAGTACTTCTAAGACTGTATGAAAGCTCAAATAAGCTGTTTGATAAATGCAACATGAATGTGAATCAGCTTCTTCAGAAGAGCAAAAGGAACAACATACTTGGCAACTGGGTTGGAACTCAGAGCCCCATGGTTGGTTCTGAATCTTGGCTTTCCTTGAGTATAATGAGAGAAACTTGGTTTTCTCTCGTACTAGAGTACAGTAGCTTTATGAATTGTAAATAATGAGAGAAACTTGGTTTTCTCTCATAATACAGTAGCTTTATGAATTGTAAATGCTGAAAGAAATCTCCTTTATTTTCAATCTGCTCTTGACCACCAGCTGTAGTTCATGTCAAATACAAGTTTTTGATAACATTCCATACCATGTTTTCCTTTAATCTAGCTAGAAAACTTCTTATTATAATCAACATATTTTTAAGATTTTGCAATTAAGTGTTGCAAACAAATTCAATGAATAACACACAGAGACAATCTACTTTTGAAAAGATTTCTGAAGTATCTTCTTTAGAGCCCATTTGGCAGATGAGCTTTTCATCTCTTTCATCCTTCTTTAAAGACAGGAATGTTTGGCTCTTTAGATGTTACCTTCAATATAGACCTAAACTACAGTAATAGAAATAAAACAAGAACACAAACAAATACAGGAAAGTGTGCTGTTAAAAGCTGTGCATCCTTTTATTGTTCCTCCTGATGTTTTTTCCCCTGAAGGAGGAGGAACATTACCATCCAGTTCTTGTCATCTTTTAGTAATGAATTTTATCAGGCTCTTGAGGTAAGCCAGTAATTTTTTCAAGATTTGTAGAGCCCTGTGTGTAGCTGAAAGTTCAGAACCTTGTCCTGTTTTGCCTTCTGACTTTAATGCTTGGCTAAATTGGAATGGTATTGATTCCAAATTGAACACAGCACGGCCTCAATCCAGTACAAGGCAGGAGCAAGTTGTTTGCATTGGGAAGAAGGAATGTCTCAGTTTTCCCACTCATTTAGAAATTTTCTCTTCATTTTCTTTCCTAATTCATTGCTCATTCAGCAATCCGACTGCTCAGAGCACTGCCCAAATCTTGCTGAGCAGTTTGAAATTAGGCTCTATCACATGTACATGTAAAAGATTGTTACATTGTGTATATATGAAAATGGATAAATAAGTCTCTTCCAAAATAATTTAACTGATGTTTGTCTACACTGAATTTAACTTCCTTTGCCCATATCTATTGGTCTTTCAATTTATTTAGCTGAAATATTTTTTCCCTAAGTTAAGACCTCGAGCTTTGGAATTTTGTTTTGCTCATAACAAAATTTTGGTTCATATTTTTTTCATACCTACATAACTGTCTCTTAAGATATATTTTATCTCAGGTTTTTGTAATCTATATTTATCCTTTAACTCCTGGATGAGCTTCTCTTCTTCTCTCCTGCCTTCTGAGAGGGCAAGGGACAGCAGATAGACTGTCTTACCTTATACCATCAAAGTTATTCACCTTCTGCATCGAGGAAAAATGGAAAGTATCATTCTTTTATTTTATAGTTCCAAAAAGATCAATGAAACTTTGAGCAGGAGAATATGAACAGCCTCCTGCCTGGCATCCCTTGACACTTTCCCCCACCCATCCCTCCCATGGATTTGTGACATTTTAAAAAAGGGTTTTAGGAAGGGCTGAAGTAAGATAGTGGAATATTGCTCATCTCAGGGAGCTTGTTCCTTGAAAAGAATAATGCAAAATATGATGAGAGGATTTCCAAAGCATAATTCTTATAGCAGTATCTTGATAAAAAACCCCAGTGTCCAAAGAAAACCAAAAACAAAACAGAAGGAATTTGGAACATTTGTGACAGAGCAAGATAACATTTACAGGTAAGCATGGAAATTTCTGCAGGTGTAGAAAAAGGGAAAGATATATTTGTTTATCAAATAAAGGAGTCCCTGAATATTGCAAGATTTAGGAAAAGCAAAGCAATTTTTAGAACAGTGCTACACTGTGTTAAAAGATCAGATATGTATTCTAGGTTTTAATCCCTCATCCTCCTTTTTAGTCCAAAGACTCACAAATCTTTCTACTAGCACCTTTCTCTGTAAAATTTGACTTTTTAGTTCACTGGATGAAAAAACAAAAGCTGTTATTTTCTCCCAAATGATTTGTTAGGCCTTTTGCATTTTATACCGTGAATTCACACAAGAGCCCATCCATGAAGCTCCAAGCTGACTGTTTCCCTCCTTTATACAAGAAAAAATTTGCCAAATAAGAAATATGAAGAGAATATTATTTGTTTTCTCTGCATGTTTCATATCTAAAGTATTCCTTCAGTCCTCTGCTCCTAATAGGTACAAGACAATCTGTTCATAGATCATTTTACTGAAAACTTGATAGGTTACCTGCCAGATTTCTAGTGGCTCAAATGTTTTGTCTCATTAACTTCTTCTGATTGAAAGGCATCACACTGAAGATAGAATCTGCATCCAAAAGATTTTTTTAATTGTGGGTTGAACTTTTCTTTTTGCTGACAAGATTAGACTGAGGTCACTAACAAACTCACACAGATGGGGTTATAAACCACACAGCTTCTAGCTGAGTTATTTTAGCAAAATATTTGCCCTTCCTAAGGTAAACCAGTTGCTGCTCAGATACCTTTTGTACCCTTGGTCCCATCAGATGTTTTAGAGAATTGTTACCTATAATCCAAATGCCTGTAGTCACTGATGTTTATAAAGTATCTTCTCCCCTCCACTCAGACACACAAAATACACGTGCCAATGTGCCATGTGCTGTTATCTAGAATTACAGAAATATAAAATTGTTTGAGTTGGGAAGGGCCTTTAAAGTTCATCCAGTCCCACACTCTTGAATGGAGCAACTTCAACCAGAGCTGCTGCTCAGAGCCTCATCCAGCTTGAACTTGAATGTTCCCAGGCATGGAGGTTTCACCACCCTGATTGTAAAAATATTTTTCCCTTATCTGGTCTGAAATATACATTTGTGTATATTGGATCAGTCAATTAGTTAAAATAGATTTTTACTTTTTCTTTAATGTAAATTGCTTTTTTTATACATTAATTACACACTAGGAAGAGAGTGCACATCTTGAAAGATGACTTAGATTGTTATTTCCTCACGTAATACACTATAAAGCTCTTCAGCAATGAGGAAGTAATGCATGATTGCATTTTTAGGTAAAAATGCTTAAAAAAGCATGGATTGTGTGTGTAAAGTGCTTGCCTAACTTTAAAGGTTAATACCATTTATATATAGCATCTCATTATACAGTCAGCTGTGCACCATTTGCCTTTCTGAAAGAATAGCAAATACAAACATAAAAACATGGGATTGTAGAAAATACTTGCTTTATACAGTGTGTGGATGCCACTCAACTTATTGCTTCTTTTTATTAAATAAGCTTATGTTTGTTTAAAAAAACCCTCCATCTTCCTAGCCTTGATTTTATTATCAAGGTAGTTTTATTCTCTCAAATATTCAAA